TACATAAATTCCTGCCTCCACACCTCCACCGCACCTCCGCCGAGCACGATCCGGTGTTTCCGCAGCTTCTGCGGCCGCGGTTTCAAACAAATGTTTGATATTATTATTATTTTTTATTTTTTTTTGCAAATTATGAATGGTATTTTCGTAATAAAAACTTGTTAGTAAGGTTTATTTGTCTTTTATAACTTGTGTTGAGTTTCAAGGTTGAATAAAAAGTTGTTCTTGTAATTAACCTGCTTTCCAAAGTTGTTTTAGTAATAAAAAAAAATCAAACAACTTCATCGAACGAGAGCTTTCAGGTCTGATCAGTGATAACAATTTCTCTAAACCAGAAACTCTCTTTCTTGCAGCCAACATATTGTCCACAAAAGTTTGTTCTTTAGACTTGATTTTACACAACTTTCTTTCTACCTCCAAGTGGAAAAAGATACACATGAAACACAAGTCTTTCCAGACAAGAAAACAGAACACAGCATAATTTGTTCCAGTTTCGCCGTTGAGGTTTTGTTCTTGAATATCAACATCTCTGCAATCCTGCAACTAAAAGAAAACCAGAAACTGAAGGGTGATGAACTTTTTTCATCTAGAAGCGTTTTTCTGCTACTTCAGAAAAGTGTTTCCAAAACAGGAACAACACTTTCTCCTAAACAACACTGCATGAACACCAAAAAAAAAAATCAAAGACTGATCCAAAAACCAACGCAACATTCACTTGACCAACATAAAAATCCAGTCCAAACAAGCTCAAGAGTTGATCCAAGTAGTGGGTCTATTGCTGTGGTTTCGATATGGGCCGTAATCACGATGCCAGTGATAGTTTGGATTCCGACGGTAGTTAGGATTTCGATGGAGAACAGTGGTTTCGAATCTAAGAGTATATCGCTCAGGGAAGTCAATAGTACATACTTAGTATTCATCATTATTAGTTTCCCCAGAACATGACGATTCACCAGGGTATGATTAAAATCGTACATGTCAGATTATTTAATTACAGAGGATAATTCTCTGTTTTTATTGTCACACACTTTTCATATAACATATAGATAATTTATTGAGTACGAGACAGAGAACTTCAGCTTCAGGTCTTTACAGGAGCCTGATCCTTTTCAGTCTCCTTCTTTTCTTTGACTTGCTCCAGCTTACTCTCCAACCAATCCACCTTAAAACCCGCATTTTTCAAGTAATCCAGCGCAATGTCAGCTTCCGCTAGATCTTCATTGGAGAGCTCCTCAAGTGGTTGGCGCAGCATCTCCATAAGACTGAGCAAGAAATTCATGCATGCTGTCCTCAGATCCTTGTTCTTTCCACGGAATCCTACTGCAATGGCTGGGTGCCATTCAAACATACGTCTCACGGATTCTACCTGCGAGTGAAAAACACATGTACAAAGCATATTAGAGAGAGCATTCTTTTGGAGATTAGGAAACAGACGAATAAATGTCTCGCCTTTGTAGAGTGAGTAACAAGAAGTTTGCACCATTCTTGAGTTTCTTACCTGTGAAGGAAGAACTTGAAACCCATTGACATCCACGCTTTCTTTTGCCGATGGAGTTTTCTTAAGTGGATTTTTAGCTTCCGCACCATCATCATCTTGCTTTGTTTTTTACAGAGATTGGGATGCCTCTTTAGACTCATCAAATACGCCAATAACTTCAAAAGCCTCTATTTCAGCAACAATCTTTAGTTCATCATTCACCAGGAATCCACCATCTTTGGCATGAAGTTTGGTAATGGGAAGAAAACCTGATACACCCCATCCGGGATAATTCTCATGATACCAGAGCTTTGTTTCTGTATAATAATATTTCAGGCCATTAGTTAACCAACAACAAATATAGCACTGTGAATTGAACATCAACTAAACTATAAGAGTAAGATCTAAACCACTAACTCAACACAAACACCTTCTGCAGCATAGAACTCCAACCAAAACATGAAATTTGTACAACAGATCATCACAATAAGTAGACTGATGGAATTGTA